TCTCCCCATTGTTGTCAATCGCTTGAAAGGTGAAAAACAGAACAATCAAACAAAAACTTCTTCCAAGCACAAATCAAAACCCAAACAGAAACAGCCAACCGCCCTCCGCACTTTGACTTCTCCGATGATTATTCATCACTGCAGGTCCCAGCTACAGCTGTTTGCATTGTGTCTGCCTCGCATGTTTCTTCCTTCTATTCAGACCTGCGACACAACAAACAGTCACCTCCCAGTGCCCCCTTTACCCTAACTGCTTATTCTCTCTAATAGTGCTTCCTGTGCCTATAATAAGCCATCCCTTCTGAATCACTGAAGAATCCTGGTGGTGCGGTGGTGAGTGCCGGGCTGCAGGCGTGGCCTTCCACGCCATCAGAGAAAGACTCCCCACAGGGTCACCAAAAGTCAGGAAAGCATCAATGGCAACGGGCTTTTCTTAACTACTGGGTCATTGTTTTTTGACTTTTCCAAAAGTATTGGAAGCTCCTCTGAATAATCCTTTCTCCTTAGGAATTAATTCTCCCTCTCCCTTTCTATAAAGTTCTTTATACCTCTAGAATCTAGCACGTGTTTGCTTGATGAACTCAGGGCACCTTCCCAAGTCTTTTTGCCCAGAGAGCAGGTAGGCAGGTTGGGAAGGAGGAAGGGAGGTAGACAAGACAGCCAGCCAGATAATGTCTCAATATGTACTCTGTGTGTGTGTGTGTGTGTTGCCATGCACTTGATTCCAACTCATACTGACCCTCAGGTACGTCAGGGTAGAACTGCACCCTGGGTTTTCTGTGGCTGATTTTCCAGAAGTAGATCGCTAGGCCTTCCTCCTTTCTGCTGAGAGGCCCCCGTTGGTGGTCTCTAACCTGAACCTTTTGGCTAGTAGCTGAGTGTGTTAGCATTTGTACCATGCAGGTGTATACAGACGCACATACACATACGAGAGGACTTCTAAAAGTTCATGGAAATGGAATGAAAAGATAGTCGGATTTTACGTGAACGATCTGAAGCGCCTGCCCATTTGAAGCGCTTAGGGCAATACCTGGTTCAGCGGCCTAGTAGGAAAGCTCGAGCTGTCTGAGGGGAATTCAAAAAGTTTGTGGAAAATTTTATTATCTTTTGATCTTGTGTTTCCGTGAACTTTGTGAAACCCTCTCATCGATGTGGAGTCATTTAC